GCCCAGCGCGGCGGCAGCTCCCCGGGCTGGAGCGGGGGCAGCTTCCCACCCAGGGCTGGGAGAGGCCATCCCTCTGCGGGCTCAAACCCAGAGCCTGCGGCTGGAAGGGCGCGGGTTTGCCTTTGCTTGGGTGAGGTAGGGCTCCCTCTGTGCAGCCTTCGAGCTCTGCTGCTGGGGCAGGTCCTGCTCCCCCTTCCCCGCCGGCAGGCGGCGGCAGCTCCCCGGGCTGGAGCGGGGGCAGCTTCCCACCCAGGGCTGGGAGAGGCCATCCCTCTGCGGGCTCAAACCCAGAGCCTGCGGCTGGAAGGGCGCGGGTTTGCCTTTGCTTGGGTGAGGTAGGGCTCCCTCTGTGCAGCCTTCGAGCTCTGCTGCTGGGGCAGGTCCTGCTCCCCCTTCCCCGCCGGCAGGCTGTGATACTTGCACCTGGTTTTAAAACCCAAGGGAAGCTGCTTCCAGGTCCTCTCTGCAGCCCCCTGAGTTGGGAAGTGGCTCAGTATGAAGTGGAGACCTTTCAGTAGCTGTCACTCCTGCAGTCCTGGGGTCTTGCTGCAAGCCTGCCTGCAGCACTGAGCACAGACTGCTGTGGTGGTGCCTGTTCATCCTTCTCCTGGAAGCACCCAGGTGCTCTGCCTGGCTGGTGTTCTGCTTTACAGTCTGTGTTAAGTGGCTGTTCATTTGTTAAATGTTTTTTTGCCCCTGTTCCTGCCCAGTCCTCTCTTCCTGGACACTTCAGGGATCTGGTGGCAGGACCCGCCATCCCTGGCAGCAGTGGAGGCTTCCTGGGACGTGACGGAGATGGCAGCGCTGAGGAAGGCTGCAGATGAGGACTCGAACCTGAGCCACCTGGAGGGGGACAGCACGGAGGAGCTGGCTGTGGCAGACCCAGTGAGTGCCTGGCTGAGCGTGGAATCAACTGGGAAACTTTCTGCACCTCTCTTCAAGCGCTTCCAAAAATTAAGATAAGAATAATCTCAGGCCTCTGATGTTCAAATCCCTGAGCTGAGAAGCTGGAAATTGAATTGTCACTCTCCTGCTGCTTAGCTTTCACTGCCGAGATGTCTGCCTGGCTGAGCGAGAGTAAAAGGCTCCTGTTTGTCACCAGCTTCTATCTCCGGTTCCCTCTGGCAGCTCCAGTGCTGCTGGGGTCTCTCTGCCACAGCACACGCTGCTTCGCAGGCGAGCACGGGAAAGGAAACGTTTCCTTGCTCTTTCTCCCCAGCGGAGCTTGGAGCTGAACTCCCCTTTTGTGGGGCAGGCTATTGTTCCCCCCAGACAGCCCACCCTTGTCCCCAGCCTGGCAGGGCACTGCTGGTGGAGGTGCACGCTGTGCAGCACTGCAACGTCCCAGCCCAGGGCGGGGAGCGGGACGGGGGTGTCCCTGCTCCGTGTGCTGCTCGCCCAAGTCTTGGTTTGGGTTTCAGGAGCTGGAGGCCATCAAAGCCAGAGTGCGGGAGATGGAGAAGGAGGATGAGAGGCTGAAGCAGTTGCAGCTGGAAGCTGAGAGCTGCCTCATCATGAGCTCGGAGGCAGGTACGGGCTGTCCCTGGGCGCTGCTGTCCCCCCCAGGCACACCTCTGGGGCACAGGGTGGCGATCGGAGCCAGAGCATGTGGCTCTGCCTCTCCTGGCAGCCTGGGGCCGGACACGTGAGGTGGGTGAGGGATGGGGTCCCAGGGATGGCATGGTGCTAACGCAGGTTATATCCACTCTTACCTCCCCTCTTTGCAGGCCAAGATGCAGTAAATTAGTTGCATTAAATTTAATTCAATTAAGTAATTGAGTTTAGCACTAACAGCCCCAGTAGAGCAGTCACCCTGTGGGTTTTTTTTTTTGTGAAGAGAGGGGGCAAGGGGATGGAGGAGGAGGCAGCAGTGTGGGGATTTGGTATCAACTGCTTTGGAGTCTGCTGGGAGCAGACCTGCACGGACAGACGTCCCTCTGCCAGAGGGCTCCTGCGACTCTGCCCAGCACCACAAAGCGGCCCTCGTCTCTGCAGGTCTCTTCCCAAAGACAACCGAGGAGAAGATGGAGGTTGACCAGCGATCCATCTACGTGGGCAATGTAAGTGGGAGGCCCTGGAGCAGAGCCCACCTCACCGCTCCTTGCCCAGCTGGACGTACGTCCAAGATCCCTAGCATGGGGGCCCATCCGTGCCCCACCAAAGGCTGGCTGGTCCCATCCCAAATGCTTCTCCTCTGCCCAGCCCAGACTGGGAATGTGGCTCAGCGATCCTCAGCCACTTGCAGATAATCTGCTGCAAGTGTCAGCTCCCCAAAATACCCCGCTGGAAGCTGCGGGTCGTGCAGCATTGCTTGTTCCCTCAAAGCGGGGGAGTTTTCTCTTGGATTTGGGTTTCTGAGTTGGAGCATTCAGCTGGAAGGGTCTCCTGAACCTCAGGAGATGGTGAGGCCGTGGTGGCAAGCTGTGACTGGGGTCAGCTGGGCCCTTTGCCTCCCATGACGGTGTGCAAATGCAGAGCTGGGAGCCGGGGGAGCTGGCTGGTGGCACTGGGGGGGCTGGCTGGTGGCACTGGAGGGGCTGTGACTGTCGTTGCAGGTGGACTATGGGGGCACGGCGGAAGAGCTGGAGTCCCACTTCAACAGCTGCGGGGAGATCAACCGAGTGACCATCCTCTGCGACAAGTTCTCGGGGCATCCCAAAGGGTCAGCGCCGTGCGCGGGGGCTGCGGTTGGGGTGTCGAGGGCCCTGCCCTGCGCTCTCCGGCCTTTGGGAGCAGTGGGGCGTCCCTGGGGCTCTGCTCACCCCGTCCCCTTGTAGGTATGCCTACATTGAGTTTGAAGAGAAGAGCTCCGTGAAGGCTGCGGTGGAACTGGACGAGAGCGTGTTCAGAGGCCGTGTCATTAAGGTAAGAGCTGGATGAGGCCCTCGGGGTGGTGCATCCATCCATCCCTCCCAGCCCCGTGTGCATGGGGCTGTGCCAAACCCCGGTGCTGGCAGCACCGGCTGAGCCACCTCCTGCCTTCCAGGTGCTGCCCAAGAGGACCAACATGCCGGGCATCAGCACCACCGACCGCGGGGGCTACCGGGGCCGCTTCCAAGCCCGGGGAGGGCTGGCCCAGCGGGGAGGCTACTATGGAGGGCAGCACCCGAGGGTGCGAGGGAGGACATACAGGTGAGCCTCTGGGCAGGGGGTTTCCTTGCGTATTTGGGTCAAGATCCCTGTGGAGCTGGGGGTCCCCAGCATGGGGATAGCTGCTCCTTGCTCCAGCTGCGCTCGGCTTCTTGGCTTTGCACCTCCCACCCTGGCATGGATGGGAGGATGGAGAAGGGCTCCGGCAGGAGTATCCTCCTGGAGACGGGTGCTAAAAATGCCTCCTGCCTGTCGCGTGCTGTTAGCATCCCCCCAGTGTCCGTGGGGTCAGCAGGAGCCTGGCGGCTGCTCCGGCTGGGACACAGGCACCTCGGGGGGACTGTGGGCAGCTGAGGTGGGGAAGGACCCGAGTGAGCCGCTAGCGATGGCACGGCAGACCCATCCCCGCTGCTGTCCCGGCATCCCTCGCATCCCCAGCACAGGCCCGGAGCTATTCTCCGGCACACCTCCTGCTGCCGGTGCATCCGCAAGCTCGCTGTGGATTAACTTCAATGGTGCCCTGGCCCCTTCGGTGCCGTGGGAGGAAGCAGAGAGGAGCTTTGGGGGTGGAAGAAACACCTGGAAACTTGCTGCTGTCCCCTGTCCCTGCAGGGATTTGGGGGTGGGCATCCCACTCCCAGCCTGCCTGGTCCCAGAGCTGTGCTTGCCTTTGGGGCTCCCTTGTTTTTTGGGGGTTCAGTCTGGGTTAAGCTGGGGCAGAAGGGTAAATCCCAGCTCTCGGAGGGGTGGAGGAGCGGGTAGCTGTGCTTTTTGGCATCTCAGCTGAGCAATGCCCCGGTGCCTTAGGATGCTGGTTTTGTTCTTGTTTAGGGGTCGAGCAAGGCTGCTGCCTTGGTATTTTCCATACTAGAAAGGACTGGACTGCCCTGGTGATGCCGACAGGACTGAAATGAGGAGATGGGATTGGAGAGATTTAAAAACATGCCTACCCAAGCCAAAAAAAGATTAATTTTAAAATGCCATCTGCCTGGCCGTGAGGATTACTGGTGAGGCAGCCAGAGTGCTGGGTTGCGGGAGGGAAGACTGGATCCACTCCACCCGGACAGCGGCCGGATCCCTGCCAGTGTCCCAGGAGGGGCTCACCTTGGCTTTGCTTAGGGGACTGTGTTTGCATGGAGAACAGCCTCATTCCAGAGAACACCCTGTCCTGGGAAGGGAAGAGCTTTCCCAGACCATCAAGTCTCATCCTCATCCCATAGAGAAGGGCTGTGCTGGAGGGTTTGGTGTAAACCTGGCTTGGCTTTTTGCTGTCCAAATGCCCTCCACCCCACCGCGAGGGCGGACCTGTCCTCCTCGGCCCGTGAAGCACCCTCAGCTTTGCTGGTTGCTTCTACAGGAGCTGGATGTTGCTTTTTCTTGCCTGTAAGAAGATCCTAAAGACCTTTCCGAAGACTCTTTTCTTCTCCAAATCAGTGGAGAAAGTCTTGGGTTGCAGCTCTGGGGAGCTTTTCCTGAACTCCATCAGCCTTGTGGATTTCTGACCTTGCTCTTGGGAAGAGGATGGAGCCTAATGATGCGTTTCGGGGCTGGTTTTTAGCTCGCTGCTGCTGTTGTACATCTTAACAACCAGGGGAGGGAAAAGGCAGCCCTTGCTGTTTTTCTGGAAGCCTCTCTGTCTCCGTGGTGGTTAAACAAGACCTGGGCATCACAAAATCCTTCCCCCTTTTTATTTCAGAAGTCAACACTCCCCTCTTCCCCCCTCCTGCTTTTATTCCAAAGCTACAGGGATCAAAGGGTGCTGCCAACTCATCTCTTTATTTCTAGCAGTAGCAGTATTATAAAATCATCTCCACTGTTGCCAATTGGATCTGATCTTCCTCTTTACTCCCGTCAGCAGTGCACCACAGGAGCTGGGTAGCGGGGAACAAGCACTGCCTGGCACTTCCCCTCCCTGCTGATCTCGTGTTTACGAGCTCTGAAACCGCTCATTTTTAAAGGAAAAACTTTGTGTGAAAAGAGGCAGGCTGCGAGCACCAGCAGACAGCATCGCTGTGTGAAGTTCTGCATTGAAATTCTGTTTTATTGTGTAATTCTCACGCTAATCTTTCGGGATCCTTGGTTAGGACTCCTCTAACCCAGATGCAACAGATGCGACTGACTCCTAAAGCAGCTTTCACAGCTCAGGGAGCATTGCCAGGCTCAAAATCCCACTGATTTTTTTTTTTTTTTCCTGAAGATGCCATGATTTTTTTAAAGCTCGGGGCCTTAACTCTTCATGTTGTGTTGATTTTGCACTTTGCCCAGCACGGACTGTGCTGCTGAGGCTGGCCTTGATCCGAGCTACCCTTAGGCTTAGACTATAAAACGGGCTTTTTCTAGGGCTTTAAACTTTCCATTTAGTAGCTTTGTAAATTCTTGAGACTTAATTTTTAACAAAAACTACTTTGGGGTGTTCGGACTCTCTTGTGGAAGAGGAAATGCTGAGCTCCTGTCTCTGCGAGTGAAAAGAGTAAAGATTTTTAGATGAAAATGTTTCAGAATAGCAGTGTACAGCTGTGCCTTGTTTAGATGGTGGGAGAGGCTCAAACACTTTCATCTCCCATTATTTGACAGGTTGTTGTTGATTAAATATATTTAAGTTCTGTTTGAGAAGGTATTGTAAATGTCACTTATTTTTAAAATAAATGATCCTGCTGTGTGAACTTCATCTGCAGTGAGGCTGTGCTGCTGTGAGCTGACACTCTGCGCTGACCTGCCTTTCTCCAGCCTTCTTGTATCCTTTGGAGCTGGGCAGCTTTTTTTTTTTTTAGCTATGTTTTATGTATTTTTTTAACTGATTAGGTGCTTGAAGCACAGGCTGCTGCTTGGGGGGCAGGAAAGACTTGGAGTAGAGGTGCGTGAAAAGCACTGAGTAGCTGCTCTGTGCTTATGCCTGCCTGCGTTCCCTCTGCTGAACTCGCTGTAGCCGCACAGCCTTGCGTAGCGTGAGCGTACTGCACAAGCGATGAAGAAGCTGGGATGCTTTTCTAGTCTAGCTTGTATTTTCTTCTATATAAATACCTGCTATTGATTTGGTAGCCTTTAATTACAACAGCAGGGAGCTGCAGGGGGAGGAGATGCTAACAGAGATTAGTTTGGGATGAGCCAGGCAGCTGTGCAATCCTGATGTCTTAATCTCTTGGTGTGGATTTATCCCAGCTGCGCTACCTGTGCTCCCTGACCTGGGCTCGAAATGCTGCTAAGGGTGCCTGGCCTGCCTGAATGAGGTGCAAAGGGAGAACAGCAAATACTGTCAAATGCGAGTCACCCAAAGACCTTCCCCAGGAAGTCAAGATCAGTGCAGGGCTTGATGGGGGTCAAGGTGGTGCTTTGAGCTGTTTGCTGTCTGCCAGAGCTTCCTCAAGACCATAAACAGTGGCTGGGGTTGTAAGGAAACCTGGAGCCTTCGGCTGACTTGCAGATTTTTCTCTTTCCAAGAACTAATGGAGTAAAAACACACACAGATCTGAGTGCTCCCAGCTAAGGAAAAACAGGACAAGGAGCCCGAGTATGTTTGAATTAAGCATTGCTTGTGATGCTCCTGTCAGAATGCGCAGTCCTGAGCAGCAGTGCAGGGGGCTGGCAAAGAGCAAAAGGATTCCGCTGTTGCTGATGTGCTGCTCCTGCCTCAGAGGAACTGTTCTGGAGCACCAGGACTTCTGAGGCACTATCTGTGCCTCTCGGCTGACTGAAATCTAGGTTGACCCTAATAATAATAATCTCTTAGCTGTCTCTTGTGCAGCTGTGCTTGCTCTAATCACAAGCACAGCAGGAACTGCTGTTTTTATACAAAGCCCCATTTCTACAGAACCATCTGAGTTGCACAGAGGCACAGCTGCACACATTTCTGTAGGGAACAAACCTCCTACCTGACACAGCTGACCTTCCTGAAGGAAGAGCTGCCTCTCACATGTTACCTGAAGGCATAAGGCTCAACACTTCTGTGCTACGCTCAGGTTTGCTAGAGCAGAAATGCATGCAGACCTTGCAGGTATCAAGTTTATTTTACATAGAATAAATTTAAATTATTATACAGAATGAAGACAATATATACATCACTTTGTAGGCACGCTCCTGTACACGGGGAATGTTCTCAACACTGGGATGAGAAGGGGCAGAGCCTCAGCACACCTGCATCATCATGGAGTTCACCATATTATCGAAAGCCCTAGAGAAGGAAATGAACACAAATATTAAAGGAAGCAGCTAGTTCTGCACAGCGGATCTCTTGTAGCAAAACCAAGGGCTAGCAATGCCGCTTACTGGTTAACAAGGGGGCTTTCCCCAGGCTGAATACATGGTTTCACTCTAACTACAGCATGCTCTGTTGAGTAAATAATGACTTTTAATTGAGCTGAAGTAAGGACAGGTCTTAGCCTGGCTGTAGACCTGCCTCAGCAAAGTTGTTCTTCCCCAGGCAACAGAAACTCTCCACATTATTAACATTCCCTGTGAGATTCCAGATGGGAAATGGGGGGCGCTGGCCCTCACGTGTGAGGAACTGCACATGCTGAATGCCCATCTGTCCTTACCCAAGGAAAAGCCCTGGACAAGTGCAGTTGTTCACTCTGTTTAACCTGCTCTATTTCTCTATGTTTGTGCTCCTATTTGCCTATCAAACAGGTAACTTTTTCTCCCCAAGAAATTACTTTTCTTGAGGCAATGTTTCCAACACCAGTTCTGAGGTGGGAGTGAGAGTTCAAGGAACTTCTCATGAGACTTTCAGAGTTTTCTGTTACGCAGCAATGGCCCAAAGACAACACAGCTGTTCTCCGTTTAGGCAGTTAGAGCATGCACATCTGAACTGGTCAACCACAGGGGTTATGCTCTTGGTCCTATTACATCATCGGTACGCTGCAAGTTCCAGAAAGATGACAAAGATCAGTACCGCCAACCCACTTACCTGGAATGGATGCGGTCCCCAGGGTTATAAAAAGGGTTACACATTATGTCCGTATATGAATTATGCAGCTTTCGGAACATCTGAAAAGGGATTGTAGTTTAATTAATTTCTTTTTTTTTTTGCTTCTCAGCACTTTATGAATAAGTGGAAGTAGCAAAAACACCGATGTGGTGAGTTGTGCTGATTTCCTGCACTTACACTGCGGATCTCATTGTCTCGAAGTGCTGTGTTTGAAGAATCCACCACCATAACAAACTTCACCTTCGAATTTGTCACGTAGCCGTATCTGCGCAGCTGTTAAGGCATGTGCTTCTGACACACCAAAGCCTGGCAAAGCAACTAAAACAAGGCTGGAATACACTCAAAGAAAGAAGCTGAGAGGAAACACGACGTTGTTGCTGCTCCCAGCACATAACTAGGACTGGATGAGGTAAGCAAGACGCTGGATTGCAGGAACTGCATCCCCTTTCTACCTGACTTCTCCCATCTTTGGTAACTCCAGGTCAAGCTCGCCCCTATGCTGGCCAGTGAGGCATGCCTTGCAATTTCAGCAGCCTCCCACTAGCTATTTTGGTGAGGGTTTCTCTCTTCTTAAGAACCATTTTAATGACACAGCCACCTTATTTATTCTTGTTTGAGAGACCACAACCAGACACCTGGAGATCTGCTAATATCAGCCAGCGTGACTGACTTGAGACCTCAAAAATTAACCACCGGTTTATGAAAACCCAGAAATCAGGTCTGCTGATAACTTCCATCTGTGGGATTCAGAGAAAAAGCCAAAGAAAGTTCAAAAGATCAACTTTGTGACTTAAAAACACTGGGGAAGCTGTACTGTGGAATACAGATTTTGGAGAAATCGGACCACACACCTGGGATTTAGGTACTTGACCAGAGACACCTTCATACACCTGCTGCTTTCTTTTTAATTAGAGTTTAAGCTTTGTTCTAGTCACAGTCAACTGTTT